GGAGTAAATCAAACAACATCCACTATTGCCTAGAAGCAATAAATGTGCCACTCAGACTATGGAGAACCAGGAACAATATAATAAGAAACTCAGCTATGTGTTTTGTCAACAGAGGGTGACAAAACACCAGTAAAATCTCCAATTATATCAGATTTTTATAATCTGCTGAAGAAGACTGCATAGTAATAATCCCACCAGTGTTTAGTCATCAAAAATATTTGAATAGAGAATTAAAAAATTGGAGATATAAAAAATTAAAGAACTCATTCAAATAGAAATAAAAGAACAAAAGAATAAAACAGAAAGTCTCCAGAGGAAAACAGATGAAGTAGACATTGAATCAGTGATTTTAAGATATCTAACAGCTCCATCAATAAAGAAGCAATATGAGATATTGTTCACAAGTATAGGAAGAACAACTTCATAATCACAGGGATACCAGATGGAGGAAAAGGAGATGAAAGCACATGAATTTCAAGAGCCCCAAAGAGTACCAAAGCAATCCAAAAGAAAATACCAGCACATATCGTGATCAAAAAGTCAAGATCCAAATACAGAGGCAGACTTCTTAAAGCTGCAAGAGAGAAGCAAAATCTCATATACAAGGGAAAAACTATAAGATACACAGACTTCTCTAAAAAAATTCTATATGTAAAAAGAATTAAGAAAAATCATATTGAATGAAAAAGAAACTCCAAGCAAGAATCTCTATCCAGAAAGTTTTGCTCAAGTGGGCCCAGTAACATCTCCATTGTGAGACTTCTTTTTACTGTGTTTGGCATATACTATCGGTAGCTTGCCAGGCTCTCTGAGAGGGGCGGAGGAATTGAACCTGGCTCGGCCAGGCTTGCTGCATGCAAAGCAAATGCCCTACCGCTGTGCTATCAATCCAGAAAGTTTAAAGAGGAATAAAAACATTCTTAGACAAAAAGAAACTGAAGACATTTGTAGCATCTAAACCAGCTCTCCATGTAATCAACAACAAAAAAATAGCTAAGCAACCAAACTTCTCACAGACACAGGGTAACAAATTCCCTCATATAAATTATTAATCAAAATATTAATGCACTCAACTCTTCCATAAAAAGGCACAGAGTGGCCGAATGGATCAGGAAACAAATTCAACTTTTTTTTGCCTGTGGGAAATTATCCCATGAATGCAGGCACTAAGATGTGGGCAGTATCCTGGGATAAACAAGCTTAAGGGAAAGCATTGACGTAAGCAGAAAGTGTTCAGATAAGAAAAGCACTTGCCTGTATGTGGGGAAACATCCTGCTAGAGAAGCAGCGGGTCTAAGCAGGAAAAGTCCTGCTAAATACAGGCAGGAAATATCCTGCTATGGAGAGCTTGAGGAGATTTGTGGGTAAAACAGACAGCTTGGCAGGGAGAGTCCTGCCAAAAGAGAAAAGTATTCCCACAGTCTCAAGGCTATTTTTTTATCTACTCCTCTGTCCCCATGCTCACACCTGCACTAGCAGTTTAATAACTTTTCTATATAGTAACTCATTATGAATGCTGTGTGTGATAAGAGGGAAGAGTAAAATGGATGCTGTACCTAATAAAAAGGCAAAGGAGTCTTTTGTTCAAAACTGTTGAGATTAGCTTCCTATTTAGAAATGCCACATCCATTTCATTTTTTAAAAAAATTTATTGAATAACTGTGAGGTAGTTACAAGCTTTCATGTTTGGGCTACAATCACACTAAGATCAAACACCCATCTCTCCACCAGTGCACATTTCCTACCACCAATATCCCCAGTATATGCCCCCTTTCCCACCCTCGTTCTGCTTCCATGGCAGACAATATTCCCCATACTCTCTCTACTTTTGGGCATTATGGTTTGCAATGCAGATACTGAGAGGTTATCATGTTTGGCCCATTATCTACTTTCAGCACACATCTCTCAACCTGACTGGTTCCTCCAGCCATCATTTTCTTAGTGATCCCTTCTACATTCCAGCTGCCTTCTCCCCTTTGCTCATGAAGCAGGCTTCCAGCTATGGAGCAATCTTCCTGTCCCATGTATCTACTAGGTGTCAGCCTCATGTTATGTTGTTTTATACTCCACAAATAGGTGCAGTCCTTCTATGTCTGTCCCTCTCTTTCTGACTCATTTCACTTAACATGATACTCTCCATGTCTCTCCATTTGCAAGCAAATTTCATGACTTTATCTCTCCTACTGAGAGGTGAAGTAATGAGATTTGGAGATGACCGCTGAACTAGAGCCATTACGACTGGATTCTGTGGGACATCAAAAGATTGCATGGCCACCCACCTAGGAGATGGTCAGACTTCTTCATCAAGACCCTGAACAATCAGTTTGAGGCTCTTCGTGTTCCTAGAATGAGCAGACGTCACTGTGCTACACTAGCATGTGACAGGAACAGATGGAGCGTTACTGGTGGCCACTTGAGCAAATCGATGTGTAACAGGATGTCAAGTGATCAAGTGATCAAGTAATCTCTCCTAATAGCTGCATAGTATTCCACTCTGTAAATGTACCAAAGACACTAGTAGAATTTTACAAGAAAAAACCTCCAACCCCATCAAAAATGGGGAGAAGAAATGAACAAAAGTTTCCTCAAGAAAGAAATACAAATAGCCAAAAGGCACATGAAAAAATGCTACACATTGCTAGTCATCAGAGAGATGCAAATCAAAACGACAATGAGATATCATCTCACACCACAGAGACCGGCACACATTCAAAAGAACAAAAGCAACCAGTGCTGGTGGAGATGTGTGGAAAAAGGGACGCTCTTTCACTGTTGGTAGGAATGCCCACTAGGTCAACCTTTCTGGAAAACAATAAGGACAGTCCTTCAAAAACTAGAAACTGAGCTTCCATATGACCCCGCAATAGTACTTCTGGGAATATATCCCAAGGATACAAAAAAGCACAGTAGAAATGACATCTGTACTTATATGTTCATTGTAGTACCATTCACAATAGCCAAAATCTGGAAACAACGCAAGCGCCCTAGAACAGATGACTGGTTCTGTTTCATTCTTTACACTGGCCCCAATTGATGGAGTATGGTGCTTTCTTTGCACATAGCTGCAAACAGCCCACCCAGGTTCATACTGGTACCATACATAGACCCCCAGGCCATGCCAGGAGTGATCCCTGAGCTCAGAGCTGGAGCAAGACCTGGGCACTGCTGGGTGTGCTCCTTGACCCTGCCCCACTACCTGCAAAAAGCAGTATAGCCATATTTATATCAGACCAAAAAATTTAAAAAATAATATTCGGGGGAAGAAAATAAAAGATAGGAATGGGCATTACATGATGGGTACAGGGTTAATATATCAATAAAACTTAAATCGTATCAAGATATATATACAAAATGAAGGGCAAGCAAAGTTTATAATAATTCTACTAATAAACCTGAGGAGATACACCAATGGCAACACAGTAGTAGAGGGTGAGTTTAATATTCCATTCACCTGACTGAACAGATCAAGTATAACATTATTTAAAAAACAAGAATCCAATTTTGGGTCTAAAAGACCAAGATAGAATGCTCCACCACCCACCCTCCCTCTAATAAAAGCTATAGACATTATTCCCTATTGCACACAGAGCATAATTCAAGACAGGTAAAATGCTGAGACACAGAGTATCCATAAAAGTCAAAAATAGAAATCATATTAAATTTATTTTCAGACCATTATATCATGAAGATGAGTTGGAGTGATAGAAAAGTAGGTAGGGCATTTGCCTTGCACACAGCTTACCTGGGTTTGATTCCTCCGCCTTTCTTGGAGAGCCTGGCAAGCTGCCGAGAGTATCTCACTCACACGGCAGAGTCTGGCAAGCTACCCATGACGTATTCGATATGCCAAAAACAGTAACAACAAGTCTCACAATTTGTTGTGAGATGTTACTGGTGCCCACTTGAGCAAATCGATGAACAACACGAGGACAGTGCTACAGTGCTACAGTGCTATATCATGAAGATAGAAATCAATCAAGGAAAACTATCAAAATCTCCAATATTTGGACACTTAGAAACATACTGTTAAATAACAATTGCGTATAAAAGGCAGCTGAGACAGAGAAGGGACCACCAAGTAAATGATGCTAGGAGGGCTCACTCAGGATGGGAGATGTGTGCTGAAAGTAGACTATAGACTGAACATGATGACCACTTAGTACCAGTATTGCAAACCATACCACCAAAAAGGAGAGAGAGAGAGAGAGAGAGAGAGAGAGAGAGAGAGAGAGAGAGAGAGAGAGAGAGAGAGAGAGAATGTGCTGCCACAAAGGTGGGGGTAATGGAGAGGCAGGAGGGATACTGAGAACATTGGTGGTGGAGAATGGGCACTGGTGGAGGGATGGGTACTTGATCACTGTATGACTGAAACGTAGTCACTAAAGTTTGTAAGTCTGTAACTGTATCTCATAGTGATTCATTCAAAAAAAGTATCCTGAGTCTTAAAAAAGAGGAAATTCTTAAAATGTGCTAAAAAATTCCTTGAAATGAACAACAATAAAGACAAAAATGTCAAAATATCATCTAAATATCAGAAAAGAAGCAGTAAGAGGGAAGTTCATAGCAATTTAGACTTACATCTGGAAAGTAAAGCTCAAATTAATCACCTAACCTCCAAACCTCAGACAAGAACAAATGAATCCCAAAGTAGAAGAAAATAAAAAACAGAACAGAAATCTGTGACATGTTATTTCCTCCATCCAATTGGAAACTCACATTTATATAAAATGATATTTAAAGCTTCTTTAAACCAAGCTGCCAGTGCTACTCTATATTCCATATGCAAAGATCTGTACTATGAAAAATGTGAAGATTAGAAAAAGTCCCAAGCCCTTAAGTACCTCATAATTTTAAGGGATATATGGAATACAGATACGATAAAGACAAAATGTATTTGAAGCAAACATAGATTCACATAAGCACTAATTATAGTAATTATTCAAAAATGAAATTTCTAAAAACATTAACAATGACTGTAAGATGAATTATTCTAAACAAACCTGATGTGGATTCTGATTTGGTCTTGGCCTCCGTGCTGAGTTCTGCCACCAAAGGTACTGAGTTTTTCAGATCATTAGTTGTTTTAGCAGATATTTCCGTTTCAGTGGAGTTTTCTAGCTGTGTACCAAAAGGATGTTTCTTTCATAAGTATCTTATAAAAATGATAAAAAAAATCCTACAAAATTAGAGCATGTAAAAATATTTTTGTTTCATCTCATTTCATTCTCTCCTTTACTTCTAATACTCCCATTATCAGCTAATACCCATCAAAATGAAATTCTCATTTTGGTCCACTGAAACTGTACCTTGGTTTTGGCTTTAGGTTCAAGAAGAGAATCACTGGTGTATTTTTTTGTCCACAATGATTGAACTGCTTCATAAATTTGCTGGCTTGTAGCATATGCCCTTTTTCCAGTTACCTAATTCAAAAAAAGTGAGTCAATAATATGTATTTTTAAAATAGTAACACATTAACCAGCATTTAAAATTGAAAACATTTCACAAATACTTAAAAGTACATCAGCTCTTCTGTATGAATATCTAGGTCAGAACCAACGTTAGAGATAAAATAACATCTAAAGTTTTATTTTTTAAATGTTATATAAAATTACTTGCCTCATATAAAAACTAAAAATACCACAATGGTGCTTGGTCCCAGTAATATATGTGCTAATCACAGCTGTTCACAGTTGCCTTTACTCCCACAAAAAGAAAATATCACACATGTCAATTAATAAAGGGTTTGCTAAAAAAATCATAAAGGTCACATAAAGGTGCTGGAGATTAAATCTCAAAATAGTAAAAAATGAGTAGTGTTTAAACAAAACTAAGTACTAAGTGTATATCTGTATATCTTATGAAAAGTTAAATGAGATTGTAGCGTATAATCTATTTTCTAATATTTTCTAATATTTTGAACACCTCTCAGTATGGCCTATATTCCCCATAAAAATATAAACAGCCAACACTCCTCATTCATGTTTTAAATTTTTGCATTTTACTCAAACCACAGCTGGAATATATAACAAGACGATATTTTGAAGCAGATCACATTTAAATAAACTCTACTTATATATTTTTATATTTTATTGTTTTTTAATTGATCGAGGCACTATGAGCTGGAGCAATAGCACAGTGGGTAGGGCGTTTGCCTTGCATGCGGCCAATCCGGGTTCGATTCCTCCGCCCTTCTCGGAGAGCCCAGCAAGCGACCGAGAGTATCCCGCCCGCACAGCAGAGCCTGGCAAACTCCTCGTGGCATAGTCGATATGCCAAAAACAGTAACAACAAGTTTCACAATGGAGATGTTACTAGTGCCCACTCAAGCAAATCGATGAACAATGGGAGGACAGTGCTACAGTGCTATACTAATTCTGTTATATTAATGTAATTATAGACTACATATGTAATGCATATACAGTATAAAATAATTTTATAATTATCTTAAACATTCTAAAATTTAATTATAATATTGATGTTTTACCATTGTGCTTAGTGTTTAAATTTTATCATAAGTATGCATAGGAATAACAAGGTATGGAGAGTTCAGGACTATTTATAACCATAGTTATATGTTATATGTTATATATATGTTATATATTTATAACCATAGTTATATGTTATATATATGCTATATATACATATATATAACATAGTTATATGTTATATATATGCTCACATAGGCATCTGTGAGCATCTTGGAACATACACTGAGAATAAGGAGGAACAATGGTAGTAATACACCAAGAGTGAATACTAATGTATACAGAGGTGTGTGGGTAATAATGTGTCAGAGTAACCTGACTGTTAACAAATGTACCATTGTAGAAGGAAAGGTGATGTTGATAACAGAGAAAGCTATGCATATTTGATGGCAGGGGGTATGGGGGACATCTCTGCATCTTTTTAATATTACTGTAAATTGAAAAACGCTCTGATGAGATCTGAAAAAAAAGTACATCTTAATTTTCTCAGGACAGTTCAACACTGGTGATAAAATGCTGCTCTACTGGGGACCACCAGGGCCACCCCACTGATGCTCAGTGTTAGATTAATCCCTTGAGATTCCTTGGAGATTATAAAAATGAAAAAAATATAGCTAGGATTTAGTAACAAAGAGAAAAGACAAAAGACACCCAAACGAGCTTTATTAAGCAAGAATGATATTTTGTACCCAAGAGAACCTCATCTAGCATGCTGCATCTCCAACTGGACCCACCCTAGGAGTGATCTGACAGTTTGATGGTCACAAACACCTGGGGTTATCTCCAGTTGTCATTGGAGGTCATAGTGCTAGGGATCAAATCCATGCTTCACACATTCTACCACCTGAGCTATCTCCCCAGCTCTGGTATTTTCTTGATGACCAAAGGTATGTACCACTTGTCTTCACTTGAAATTCATAAATATTTGATGATTTACCTATTTGTATCTTTTGCATGTGGGATCGAGGGATGTAATTCAGTGGTAGAGTATGCATGTATAATGCCTGTATAATGCTTTGCATGTATAATGCCTGTATTCAACCCTCAGCACCTCACATGAAAATATTAGTTTACTACTGAGTTGAAGATGATTTCATATATTTTGATATAAATCTGTCAAATGTATTGTAAATATTACTTCCAATTCATATTTTGGGGGGAGCAAGATTTTTTTGATATCTCACTATTTTTTTAATCACCATGATAGACCATTACAAAGCTGTTCATGATTGGGGTTTCAGTCATATAACCTTCTGGTGGAGTCTGGCCCAGGGCATGGTGGCGGTTTGGCTTGTGGGAACAAGCAACAGTTTGTGGTTCTGCTTGAGTGGGCACCAGGCAAACCTGCCCAGTCCCTCCAACCTACTCAGGTCTGTTCAGCCTTGCACAGGTCTGAGATTAACTGCAGGGTTTTTTTTTTATCTCTTTCATGATTTGCTCGAGCGGGCCCAGTAACGTCTGCATTGGAGACTTTGTTGTTACTGTGTCTGGCATATCGAATACTCTCGGTAGCTTGCTGGGCTCTCCGAGAGGGGTGGAGGAATCGAACTCGGGTCGGCCATGTTGGCCGCGTATAAGGCAAACGCCCTACCCGCTGTGCTATCGCTCCATGATGGATTTGTGGGTCTCTGGATAAGGCCGATAAATGAGCTTGTATTACTGAGCTGGTGGTGGTTTTTGGGCATGGTTCCCACATACCTAACTTTTGGTGGTTTAATTTCTTGCAGAACTTGGTTCTGAATTGTTGAAGTCAGGCCAGAGGCAAAGCAGCAATTTGGGAGTTGTAAGGAAGGCCACCGACACCATCAGGCTACTGATGCGCTCACTACCCCCTCCTCCAGTCTCTGTGTCCAGGTTGACCCACTGGTGGTGAAGACCAGGACCAAAGCCAGGGCTGCTACACTTCACAGCTTGGGCACTGTGACTGGGCTGTAGCCACCAGTCTGGCAGAATCCGCCCATCCTATATCTCCAGACAGCTGGTGCTCAGAGAGGTTTTCCTCCATCATATGCTGTGGGCAGCACTGGTGAAGCGGGTTGGTCCAAGGGAGAAATGGTGGTAGGGAAATGACATGGGCGGTAAACGTTGCCTGAGCAGTCTCCCATGGTGGGAACCTGGGTGCCTGGTAAACTCCAGGACCTGCGGCAGTGTCAAGTTGGATCTGAAGAACCCTGTTCATTCAGGCTAAGCTTCGGCCTCCATGGTGGCCAGCTGCCCACAGAACTGAGGGTGCGGGAGCTCCAGTAGCTCTCGCACGGGTGCTAGGACCAACCCACTTCACCAGTGCTGCCCACAGCATATGATGGAGGAAAACCTCCCTGAGCACCACCATCCTCAGGAGTCTCACTCTGGCCTGTTCTGTTGCGGGCGCCAGTTCGCTTCCACTGAATGGCACGCTTTTTGAGAGAAAATATTTCAAGGGCACTTTCAGCCATTCATGCAGAAATTTTATGACCCCATCAGCCCCACTGTTCTGACCGCTGAGAGCTGCTGCCACTCTGCCAGCTCTTGCATCTGATGCTGTGCTGCCACTTCTCTCCCGAACTAGGAGGAGCAGGATTTTTCATTTCAACAGTCCAGTTTATTAGATCTTTTATGGTTCATGCTTTTTGAGCACTCAAAAATCAAAGTCTATTGTAAAGTCACAAATATTTTCTCTAGCACTATTTTCTAGATTTGTTGTTTTAGATTTTACAGTTTTAGGTCCATGATTCATTTCATGGAAATGTTTCCCATGTTGTGAGGTAACAAGTGATGTTCATTTCTCCTCCATAAAGATATTCAGTTGCTGGGGCCAGAGAAACAGTATAAGAGAAAGGCATTTGCAATGCATGTGGCTGACCCTGGTTTGATCCCCAGAAGTGTATATATTTTCAATTTTTATTTGTTAAACACCATGAGGCACAGTTGTAGACTTACAAATTTTTGTGCTTGGGTTTCAGTTATACTATGATCGAGTACCCATCCCTCCACCAGTGCCCCTTCTCCACCACCACTGATCGCAGTATCCCTCTCACCCCCCATCACCCCCATCCCACCCTGCCTCTGTGGCAGGGCATTCCCTTTTGTTCTCTCTCTCCTTTTGGGTGTTGTGGTTTGCAAGAGAGGCAATGAGTGGCAATCATGTTTGGTCTATGGACTATTTTAAGCATCCTTCTCCCATCCTGAGAGGATCCTCCCAACACCCTTTATTTGGTGCTCCCTTCTCTATCTGAGCTGCCTTTTCCCCTAGCATGTGTGGCTGGCCTCCAAGCCATGGATTAAACCTCCTGGTACCTATCTTGGCTATTTTTGGGTGTTAGTCTCCTATTTTGTTACTTTATGTTACCCAGATGAATGCAATCTTTCTATGTCTGTCCCTTTCTTTCTGACTCATTAGTAGAGATCACCATTTAAGAAAAAAAAATCAAACTATTTGTATAAAATCTTTTTCCTCCCATCAGTGTAACCTTTTACTAATAGTTGTGTGAATATTCTTCCTGAGGTTTTCATCTACATATACATTTAATATATACACACACAGCATTTCACTTTATTTTTTTTTACACACAAAGCATTTTAAGCTAAATAAAATGCTGACAAAAATTGATTAAAAAAAGACATATGTACTATATATGCACTGACATGGACATAAGTTTATAATGAACAACAGAACTGGTAGGATTGGGATGGAGGGATGGGGGGTGGGAGGGATACTGGGATCAGTGGTGGTGGAGAATGGGTACTGGTGGAGGGATGAGTATTTTATCACTGTATAACTGAAACCCAAGCACAAAAATTTGTAAATCTACAACTGTACCTCATGGTGATTCATTAATAAAAATCTAAAAAAAGAGCAAAATTTAATATAAAATTTAGTATACATAATAAATATATAGCACTGAAAAAAATATAAAAAATTTGAAAAAAAAGATTAGAAATAGATCATATACTAC